AAGTATTAAATCATATGACTAATTTGTTATTTTCATACTCAGAGGACCTCCACTAGTGAACTGTGGTGTCAATAAAATGTTCACTTGCTCTCTCTGAAGGACGCTGCCTGCACAACACTACTGCAAAGCCTCATGGGAGTGTTATGTGTCAATATCAATCTTGTGTATAAAGGACTGGTAGCGAGGTGTTGATCTGGCCAGATATGTGCTCTCACAAGTGCCACTCAGACTTGCACAAAAGTGGGGTGAGTTGAAGTACACTGTTGATTATGGTGCGTGATATTTGCAAAAATGTAAAGATACGCAGACAATGCTAGAGAAATGTGGTATAATGCCAGTTAACAGTTGAAGTTTTATAATTACCCAGAAAAGTGCAGAAATATTACTATATAGAGTTCAAATTATATGTTGTTGTTTTTTTTTTTCATTACCAGTGCCAGTTATTTAGAATCCAGAGCAACCCATGGCCCGTAAGATGTGCAGATATTTTTAGGCTGATATTTAGGGGCATTTTGTTTTTTAGTTTTATTTATTTATTTTTTAACAAATTATGTAATTATTGTATTTACATCAAATTCATCTACAGTCTATTTTTTCCACAAACCTTTAAGAGAGTGGTGTTGTCACATTTTCAGCATTTTTTGCTTTCAAGTGTTCAAATATAGCTTTGTCTGTAGGCAGAAGGTCAGCCAAAACAAAACATGTCCTATGCCGAAGATTTATGGCTAATTGCCAAATCGTTAAAATGTGCAAATATCTGCCATATTGGTCTATCTCTACTTTATATCCTTGTTTAAAAGATTCCAACATCATTTTGTTGCATTTTTATTTTTAATCAGGTCTTTTTGCATCAGAATAAATGAATAAAGTTGCACTAGGAAAGATGTGAATGCTAGACAGATCCTTGTTGGAAAAACACAAATACTGTTCTCTTTACAGTTATCCAATCATTTCATCATCTGTTCCCAGGATTGCAACAGTAATACAAAACAGAGTTGTAAATATACAACTCAATGTACATTCATCTTCCAAAACTCATTCCTCTAACAATGTTTTTGGCAGGACATTATGTGACTCACCAAAGAGTCAAGACAAAATGCCAAATATGGTCCTACCTCTGTCCTCTGCCCAGTGTGACGTCAAACTGACCGACAGACAAACAAGAGGCGGAGAGCTGGTCTCCTGTGAACATCTTCTGTCTGACCAGTCCACTGCTGAGGCGAACAACAGCGGAGACAGGCCAGGTGTGCACACACATAACAAACTCCTATTACATCTGAATTTACATAGTTTTATCATCAAATACAATTACAGAGGTCACAGACTGAATTAATTAATGCAGCTTTGCAGTTTTTATCTCAGGAACATGTCCTCCTTCTGTCATCACACTGGGTATTAAGTGTGTATTATTCTCTAAAACAAGTGAAGAACTTAGCAGCAAACAATTCATTAATTTTAATCAACATGCAGATTCAGTTATTTCTAATCATCAATGATCATGGGTCTTTATAATGGAGAGGTCTACAGCCAGTCCTCAGTAAAAGAATAATTAATATTTGTCAGTAGGAAATGTGACTACTTTTTTTTTTTTTTTATGAAATACATTTTCATTTTTTGTTAAAAGGAGGTATTATGCAAAATTGAGTTTGTGAAGCTTTCTACCACATGTTAACTTTCCCACATCAAAAACATGCCTGATGTGGTTTTGTTTTATTTGTCATTCATGCATGTTTGAGTAATCTTGCAGTCTCTCCTGCGCACTATTCAAACCATCTTTATGGTTTGAGCTTGTCAAGGCACAGCCCCAAGTCACCCATTTTTTATGAATATACAACAGCAGGATGCAAAACAAAATACTACAACTACCCAAACCTGATGCGAAGTGCACTAGTGTTTTTTGGCAAAATGCACATAGATTGTGTTGTGATGGAAGAGTGACTCAAAAACTGCACTGAAATTAAACATACATTGTTTTCAATGCATATACTGTGATCTAAATAAGGAGTTTAATAGTCCCTCTTTAATATGATAATATCAATACATTTTTTGGCATATCCCAAACCCCAACATGGCAATGACAATAATGTTTAGCACCTTCATCAATACACACAGAGACTGAAACAAACACACATTATAGAAGTAGCCTCTGGGGTTATTTTGGCTACGACTGAAATTCAGCAAACACAGTGAGTGGCCAACTCATTTATTTATCTATTTGGGCAGCAATGGAAAAATGTCTTCCTCAACTTATTTAAATTTCAGGAAGGAGACATATCAATGCTCAAAGGTGGGTAGCTCATAGAAAGGCTTGGGTGGACTAATGGACTCTACACTGCTATGCCCTAACAACTGATGCATAAAATTGATCATACTAAGAAAAGTCTTCTTATTTTCTTTTTTCTGCCTATGATTCCCAAACCATCTTCCTCCCAGAGTGGGGAAGAGATTTGCTTCTTTTCTTTCTCTATAGTAGGTACCATATTTCTAACTCAACTTGAAAAATACAACACTTAGAAATCCCATTGCCAAGATTACTGACAAACCTAGTAAGGCTTCAAATATTCCACTTCTGTTTAGTGTCATTTAAAGCAGCTGTATTTGGTTGTTGAGACACAGTGAGCACATTGGGCATACAGCCAGGTCTCTTCAGTGGCTGGAGAAAGCCATGTATTCTGTTTAGTTTACTAGTCATAAAAACCCAGACACTGAATAATGTGAAAAAGACTGTGATATAGACTACAATACTACAGAGAGGCTAGCAGAGCATTGAACTGCATTTTATTGCTGGGTGAGCTCATGCTGTTCTCAATGAAAACAAATCATTTATATGAAATTACAGTGACCTCACAAATGTACTGTTGCATGAATCTATTGCCCTGCGCTTAGTACTCGCCAATGGTGACACAACTTTATAGCCACAGGGTGACAAAAGATTCAAGTGGGCCTTTTTATATTTATTTATCCTCTTTTATAATTATGATTAACTACAGTATGTACATTCAAATATACAGCATGTGCATTTAATCTTTTGCGGAAATCAGTGAGGTGAATTATATTATGAATTATTGGGTTTACAGTCCAGATTTAATGTATTCATATGTAACTTCTGATGGTATTCTATTTATAAAAAATATGTAATTACCTGAAAAAGGATTTAGCTAATGCATGCTGAGGGGGTGTGACTTTAACTGGGCTTTTTGGAGGAAAAACACACAGGTCTTTGCCAGTTTAACACTTCGTCGGGGCTTCAAGTAACAACAGTCTAGCCTTTTATTGATCTCAGCAGGATAAAAGTCTCTTCCACTCTTGTCTCAACGAAAAGGGCACAGCTCAGGCATTGCAGAACATGCATTTTTATCCAAATGCCTCTTGAGCACAGAAGAAAGGACCATTTATCATAGGTAAACCCTTATGCCATAAACGTATATAGGAGAAATGTTGAACACTCATCCCAAACCCCCAGTCCACACAATAAACTACTGCAGCTCAAAGATGATTAAGCAGACTTTAATATTGTCAAACAATAACATCATTTTAGAGGGGTTCATACAAACCTGTGTGATGGCACGTGGAGATGGGTTTCTCTCATCAACCTATAAATAGTAACAGGAAAATTCTTTGGCTAAAGACCTGACCAAGCCTATAGCTCTAGATCTGGAGACCTCTGGTGTCCTCTTTTTTCTAGTTAGTTTGACTGCCTATGCGCATTATCTGACAAAGATGTCCTTTCTGCAGTCACACTTTGATCCAGCCTTTACCATAAAAGAGTTGTGGTGCTGAAGACTCATACAAAGTAAACAAACTGAGCTTTTGGTTTGCCAGTTTGCCATCCTTACAGTAACTTGTGGCTATTTGGGCCACATCACACCAGTGACACATTTGACGCATTGGGATGAGTTCAGACACTCTTGCACTAAATACCAAATGAAACAGGGGCAAACCACAGATGCAAACAGACATCACTTTTGTCAATCTTTCTACTACCATGGGGTTTTATTGGACTGTTATAAATGTCAAAATCATTGCAATCATTTCATTTAACAAAGCTACAGCACTAAACCTTGATTCTTTGTCAACTACATGTATAGGCTATATACAATAGGAATATGCCATGGCTTTACCTTGGACCCCAGGAAGGGTAGCATTTGTAGAGAAAAATGGGGATCCTTAAATAAACAAAACCTCGAGGGGCCTGTGACTAAAATATGAATTCAGGAAAATGTTCGGGAAATGTTTATCAATGCATCACTCTGGACACAGAAGACTGTAGACCACATGAGAGCAGGGACCAAACCTCAGACTTCAAACACGCAACTGTGCCCTTAAAGCACTTAAAACAGACCTGTTATGAGACAAAGGCGCCATAAAATTAGGATGGTTTTGATTTAATGGTGGTAGGTAAAAAAAGAAAAAAAAAAAGAAGTCTGAATAAATGATTTAGAATTTTAATTGCCCAGACCACAGAAGCTGTAGCCAATAAAAACGGACTTGTGGCATAGCTTGTAGGTTATGCAGCCCTAGATTCAGGTGATGCTATTAATAGCACCACAGTGAACTTTATTCTTGATTAGTATGACCTTCAAGTTATTAAATAATACACTAATGTGGAAAATGTTCTTTATTCTTTGGTGCTTAAGTTACACACTGCAGCCTGAATGCTTCTAAAAATAGCATATTTCTATTATAACAGGGTTTGTAGAGAAAAGCAAAGAGGATCTCAGACTTGGGCTGAAAAAAACAAAAACAAAAAAATCTGCAAATATTGATCGAGTTAATGTGCTCCAAAATGATAAGTGATGCGCTTAGAAGCGTCACGAGCATCTGGTTGCGACACTGCCACAGGAGCCCGGACAGGGCATGGGCACAGGGCTAGTTTAGGACCAGTGTGAGAAATGACAGCATTGCAGCCTGGATGTTTAAACCCGCTTTGACCGCGGCACATTCCTGCAGATCTACCTGTTAGCATGTCGTAAACGTGAATGTAGCGTGAGTCCTCTTACCTTTGCCTCTTGTCTCCTTGGACATAGTGGTTCCGCTGTGGGTATGTCTCTGGGCTCACTTAGAAAAGCCGTCACGTTTCTCAGCGCAGCTCTGTTATGTCGAACATTGAATTAAAAAAAGACAAGCTTCATGTGCCCTCTTTCCCGCCCCCTGCACCTTGTCGTCTAACCGGACTGAAGCGCTCTGCTGCGGGATGGACCTGGATGGCACCGGAGCTAAAGCCGACACGTCGGTCTCCTCCTCTACCGCGGGAAGATGAAACGCGGGAAAAAGAGAAAAATCTAAATATGCTGATGTTTCATTGACCTATACCTAATCGCGCAGACCAAAGTACCTGCCGTGCCGCAGACATAGTTGTGCATGTGTTGTCTCTGCGCAGACTTGGTTCACATGGCATGCCTAGCCCACCCACCTCTGCCTCTTTCCTCCGTCCGTCGCGATTATCAGCCAGAGTTTTAACAAACAAGACTCCTCTGCAGCGCCACTGCCTCCAGCGGTGCGCCCGTGAGCCGAGTGTCGACGTAGGAACACTTTGCAGGGACAGGGAAAAGTTGACCGTAATGACATTGTAAATACGTGATCATACTAATCAGTTTGGTTACAGGACCAAGGCATCATATTTAAACCACTTTAGAATAATAGGGACTGAGCTCCCTGCCAACAGGGTAAGCAGCAGGTGTCACCTCAAGCAGAAACACTACAGTCAACCTTCACATTACAATTGTGCCCCTGCCTAGTAACTGCTCTGCTTATAATGAAGTTAAGGTAAAGGGAGATGAAGGTGCCTAAATGCATTTTCACATAAACGCTTGCCTTCAATAAGAAATACAAATGAATGAGTGGGGTACTAACAAACTGCAGGCTGTGACATAGTTTTAATCCCATTAGAGAAAAAGAACATTAAAGAGCAACAGGTTCAAGTGACAGGTCTAATTCTATTCAGAAGTATATTTGTATATCCTATAATAAAACTGTCTATTTTCAGTTTTAACAAAATAAGCTTTAACGCTTTTTCACGCACTTGTAGAAAAAGGTTAAAAAATGAATGCAACCATTGTTCTGCTGCCTAAGGTTTTATGGGAGCCATTAAAGAGTCACAAAGTTGGCATCAGCAGGCTCAATATAGCACCTAAAGTGAGGATTTGTTTTTGTTATGTGTCTGAGGAAATGATCCGGCTTGTGGGTGCAAAAGCTCAACAACTTGAGTCAGTGATAACAAACAAAGCTCCATATTAATAGCACATTTAAAAATATAATGAGCTCTAACAAATACACTTCAGCCTACTCATTGGTGTTACATAAGGTGTGATATTAGGCTGGCATAGTGTCCAAATATAAAAACACATTTAGTCTACTGTTCACTGTCTGAGCCTGTGGAAAGATAGTTGGATTTGTAAATACTGGTCCATTACATTTGGTGAAATAAAATGTACTGACATAACACAATAATTTTAAACTATAATGAAGTATTTTGGGTTTTGTGGTGTTAGTGAGTATGTTACAGACTTTAGCTAAATAAAAATTAAAAATAATTCTTAAAAGGGTAATTTGTCAGTAACTATACATGATGGTGCTGCATTGCTGTTGTGCTCCAGCATGTATAAACTTGTTTGGTTCAATATTTGTAAGATGGTGTAAAAACTTTATCGTCATAATTTGCTCCCATGGCAACTGAGTGGTTGGCTGCTCTTTGGCTACCTGGCTGACACACTGAACAAGTCTGGAAACTTTTACTTTTTTAAAATCAGTTTTTAACATATCATGGGATTTTAACCAACTAAAAAGTGCAGTTCAAAAACACAAGTAATGGACTACTGGACAGGACCTATGAGATATTATAGGCATTTAACACTATATGTCACATAACCTGCTGACCATACCTGACCACTCGATACGCTGACCTGAGACCTTTGATTGAATCACAAAAGTGACAGAGAAGCACAGCACGTTGCTGCAGCTAAACTTGAATATCTCTTGCGATCATTAGTGTCTATCTATTGATCTATGTATTTCACAAGGCAACAAAATCTAACAAAGAACTCTAAATCAGGAAATGAGCACATCGGTTTTTGCCCAGCCTTATCCACAACCTAAATCCTGCACATCACATAGCAATATCCCCCCCCCGCTTTGTGTGTTCTCATTTAATTGTCCTAGAAAAAAATATTGTGTTTTGAGTGTGAGAGTCTGCACGTATCCAGCCACCCACACAATCTCCGCCTGAGAAAAAATAGGGGAGGTTGAGTCAAAGTGAGCTAATTCATGCAGTCAGTGAACGTCCCCTGTCAGAGCGTAGTCCCCACAGACAATCACAGCTACTGGGCTCTCTCCGCTGCTCTCCTGTTTTCATCTGACACCCAAGAGACATGCTGTTGGCACAACTAGCTCATGTCTAGTCTTCTGTATGCATATTAATTCATGGTCAATTGGTAAATGGTAAATGTTATTTTTCTGTTTGTATTTCTCCGATAATAGCAAATTAATACTGAGTATGTGAAAGCCAGTGAGGTAGAGATAATACACTTTAAGCATTCTTCACACACCACGTGGAGATAAACAAAAAATAAATATATTAAGATTTTGGTCACTCTTATAATGTAGGGACAGATGCTACTAATTTATTTTGAAATCCCAACATTAAAATGGAGTTATGGTTTTAGCCACTCCTATTTAATGTAGAGACAGATGCTAGAAATTTATTTTCAAATAGCAGGGAAAATGGAAGAAGAGTAATCCCCAGAAATATTCATACAAAGTGGAAAGGGAATGCAATAATCTTATAATCCTCAGTAATGTTTTAATGGGCCCTCACAGCTCACAAAACAGAACTCATCACCATTACATCACAGATACAGGTAGAGACAGACACCTGATGTGACTAATGCTTCCTGTGTGACATTGACCTCAAAATAACATCTAAAATCAAACCAAAAAATTAAATACTGAGATAAGTACATACAAAACCATTATGAGACTCATAATGCTGTAGAAAATTAAAGTGGCTAAAATTGTCTTTGCAAAACCCTGAAGCAAAAATCCAAAGTTAATATCCTTATTATCATGTTATTGCCTGGGTTGGAGGAGCAGGTGACTGGACAGGCTGAAGGAACTCTGATGTGAAGACGGCCTCAGCGTACTCCTCCACAACATCCTGAAACTCAGCCGCTACTTCGGTCACCACCTCTGCCAACAGCTCCTCTGCCAGACTGAGGGACAAGAGGCAAGATCAGACTAAACTGACAGGCTAGTTTTACAAGGACAGAGGGTTAAAGCTACACATAGGGGAAGATTTATGTTTAGCGCGAATCCATCAATTATACGATTACCATGCAAGTAGGCAGTCGATTGTGACAGTGCTGTCAGGCAGATTTATCCCTGAGGGTAAAATATCAAGGCAATCCATCTATTATGCAGATTTTTACATTTGAATAATCTCTCTTTCATCAAATGTGGCTACAGTGAACCAGTTGTACAGTGCTTTTTTGATGGATGCCCTACCTGATACATCCATCCACATTACTGTAACTGGATTGGAAAACCAGGGACAGAAAGTGCCGGTTATGGTTGTTATATCTATTAGACATAAAATGAAACTCTGTGCAAGAACAGATGGCTAGCATGATGATATATATATATATATATATTATATATATATATATATATATATATATATATATATATATATATATATTATATATATATATATATATATTTATTTTTTTTTTTTTTTTTTTTTTTTTTTCTATTTTCAAATGTCTAAATAATTCTAATTCTTGTACAGCAGTAGCCAAATCTGACCAGTCTGTTCAGATAGCAGTCATCTTACTGTACAGATGAAGCATACATTTTGGATTAACTTGTTCTCCAATGTTTTTACACTATGGTGAAGTTCAAAACCCTCTGAATTGTGCATTGCAGTAACTTAAGACTTCCCTTAGTTATGCAAATCAAATGCAGTGGGTGAGCCAGATGAACAACAGCGAAAACCAGGGAGAGAAATTATACAAACCATAAACTCAGTATGGCACCTCTGGGAGTGTTGTAATGAGTCGGTAATTGCAGTGGCTCTGAAAGGACGTTAGTATATTGATACTGGATTGTTGTAGCTAACATGACAGCAATTCAATAAGAGCAAAATTCTATGTTTGATTAAATAAAGTATAAAAATAAAGAGGCTTAGCAAATGCAACCTTGTTTATATTTTGTAATTACCTGTCTGCAATAGTCCAAGGAGTGACACCCCCAAAGCTCCTTTTACCCCCCGTGCTCCGGTAAGCCTCATAGTCTTCCCGATATTGCCGTATGTTTCTCAGTGTGTGGCTTGGCACAGATAGAATAGCACCTCTCCCTCTTTGCACTGCAACTGGAAACATAGCACTTCTTCGGACCTGGGACCCCTCTTCCTCTGGTGACCTGGTCTCTATGAAGGCTCTGAGTCAAAAAAGGAAAAATGCACATTAAGAAACAGATCTTTTCATTATCTGGATCTACTCTATCCTCCCTGCTTGAATTGTCTGTTCAGGACAGAAGCTGGGGAGATGAAACAAATTAATTTATTGAGAAGACAACAAGAATGGAGTGCAGTGCTGTGATGGAGCAGAGACACTTGCTGTGCTCAATACAAAACCCAGGACGATGAATTTAGGAGAGGTGTCAGAGTGCATGCACTGAGAAGGGGCGCAGCTGGGCATTGCCATGGTCTGGTTTTATAATCCTCTCTGTTTGGACAAATCAGTCTGCCCGGGCGACGCCATTCTCAGGGCTATATTTAGTGTCGCTGCAGTTTCCCAAAGCAAAGTGCCGCTCCATTGTGCTCCTGGGCCTCAACTGAACTTCCCTCTGTTTTGATTGTAAAGGCTACACAGCACGGGGCTGCCATAAATTTGAAAGTGCCAGCACAGGGGACTATGCTGCGACTGCAAAATAGGTCAATTTACAGTCGAGTGGCCATCTGAGGACGGATGTGTCCAGGAGCACAATATGGCCTAGCGCAAATTCAATTTAGATGTTGTGTGTTTCAGTGGTCACACTTCAGAGCTTTATCAGTACAGATGTCTTACTTGCACATACCAAGACCCTACAAAATAGCTTATAGCATTATCTGTTCCATGAATGATTAAGTAGACAAAGATTTTATGAAAATGCCCTACCTTGTTGTAATACAGGATGAAAGGTATGACTTGATATTGCATATTGTTTCATGATTATCTTAATATACAGTACAGGAGATTTAGATGCAGCTTAGCTCATAAGGAAAATAAAAAGTTATAAACTGTGAAAGCCCAAAATCTTTGTTTTGGTCAGTAAAATGGTAAATTAGTTCTAATCCAAAATTGATGGATATTAGAGCAAAACATCAAACACATAAAATATTTACAATATCGCTGAGCAGAACTTTCATCTATTAATCAATTTATTTGATGTGCTGCGAGAGCGGCAGTGGGTCAGTCAACAATCAAAAGGCTCATCTCCTCACCATGGAGACATACATCTTATCTGCTGCTTTGCCCATGTTTGGAAAGATACAATCTCTCATTGTATTGTCAAAGAGGTAATTTATTACCACAAACACAGCCAGGCTTCACAGTAATCTCCTATGCTTTATGCATCGCATTTTATGAAGCTACAATGTCTTTTACTATATTTTTATTCTGAGATAATAAGCATCTGACAACATCTGCCTTAAAAATAATACAATGAGACGTGGAAGCCATTCTTTCCTAATTGTTCTGTTTTCTTTTAGAAAGCAGCATCCACATCTCATGAAGCTAGCACATATTTCCTTTGCATAATTGTTATATGTTTTTCTTTAATGGCTTGTGTTGTTGCCGCATCCGGTGTGTTTGCATGTGTGATGAGAGATGGCCATTATAAACAAGCAGTCAGCACATGTGAGGAGACGCCACACGCTGCTGCAGCTGAAATAACATTCTTTTATTCCAGGCCTCCTGTGTTATGCTGCCATGAATAAAACAGCACACATCCACATCTTTCCAGTGACAAAAGCTCTTCCATCATCTGCTCTGATGTCGGATTGATTGTACAGGCGCAAACTGATATATATTAGCATGGGAGAAAGGGCATTTTAGAGCCTTCATTCTAAAAGTGAAATATCAATGCATGATATATAGTCTTACGTCTCAAAATTAATTAGAGTATTCCTTTTAATTGCATATTGTATACAGGCAGGACTATAAGTTTCAACTATTTTACAGGCTATAAAGAAATCTAACATTTTTAAAATGTAATAGTGCCTGTAGGCCCACATACAGCTTTAAGTATAATTAACAAGACAAATTGTTACATTTTGCCTTTCACAACAATGACATCTCTGCTGCTCAGTGCCAAACCATTCAGACATGTTACAACCATGGCCAAATTTTCTCACACACAGAAAAAAAATACTCTGTAATAGGATTCTGTCAGACCAATAGCTCCACCCTTGCTCTGTACTGAACAACAGATGGTGAGTGACAGGCTAATGATCTTCATTCAGTACTGCATGAAGTGACTTGATATGGTAACAAAAAATAATGCATTTGTGTTTTTGTTGCACAAGTTACAAAGCATAAGCAAGCAAGTTACAAACTATACCATACAAAATATCAAACCGCTGACTTGGGATTTTAGATTTTAGCATGAAAACATCAACAATATCAACATTTGGTAATATTGTTTGGTAATTCAATTCAATATTGCAAAATTTTAATTAAACTAGAGGGATTCATTTAGGTTGATTAAAGCTAATACTTTTTTCTAATCATGTAGCACTTTCCTATGGATGCAGTAAAACATCTGTATTAAGATACGTTTTAATTATAATTCTACATTACATCAGCTGCCCTGTCTTTTATCAACAAACTCTAGTTCTTCTATTTCCCTCTAAACTCTCATTAACTGATTCAGTGGAGCAGCTGTACCCAAAGTTGTAAACACTAGAGGGTTCTATAGAAGGAGGTATCACCAGCTGAACCAGCTCTGCCCCAGGTTTAGTACTCTCAATGTGGTCTATGTGATGAGTACAACCCCTGATGAGAGAGCATGCAACGTTACGTAAAAAAAAAAAAGTCAATACTATTCAGTGTATATTCCCTGTTTACCGTATATGTTTAAAATATTTTTCAAATGAAGTGAAAACTGAAATACAGGGAAATAATTAAATATGAGCAAAATAAGTATAAGTAGTGCATACCCTGTCTCCAAAGGTTTCTCTAGGATTATATCTGCAGAGGGCCTCTGCCTCAGCTCTGGTTGTGTGAGTCTAATTGGTTGAGGAGAAGACGGCCTTGAGCCAGAGTCTTTGCCTGAAAAAGCAAAGAGCATAAAAGAGTGGAGAGTGGTGACAGCAATGTGACAACCCAACTAACATTAGAGCCTTATTATATTAAAAATGACACAAGATTATCATTTTAACTCTTGTGTATAATCTGGTACCTGTGTCTTGTGGTTTGTCCAAGTTAAGAGGATCTGAATATATAATAGATGTAACTCGCCTCCTCACTTCTTCCTGGTCCCTCTGCTCAAACACATCAAAATATATAAAACATCAACAGAGATCAAAACAATGACTAGCCTCTTTGTCAGAAACTCATAACAGATGCTATAAATAAATTGGAGCTGAGCATGGCCTCTCCTGGTCACTGTGACCTTTCTCTGGTGGGTGCTACAGAAGGGAGCTTCACCTGGATTTCCTCCATTCGAATAAGCATATTCTCCAAGGTGCTGGACTGCATCCTCCGCTGGGCCCTGCCCTCCAACTGTTTGTCTGTCTGCACTGCCCACGCCACCCGAGCTGTGTCCTCCAGCAGGTCCTCCAGGAGAGCGTCACTCAGCTGCTCTGCACTTTCTGCAGACTAAAAGACAAAAATGTATATTTACAACCATAAATCAAAATATGTCTTGTTCTGTAAATACAAGTTTATTGATTGGAAACTCTTCTACACAATCTTATCATGTTCACTTAGTCTGTTGTGGAGCGAGAAAGCAGTTCAGCTACTAAAATCACTAAATTACTAAAAATGTACATCCTTGAAAAATGTTATACGTATGTTAAGAAATGTAATGAAAACAACGCTCAAACCTGTGCTTGATCTAGAAGGGGTTGTACATGCTCAGTGGCCTTCTGTTCTCCCCCAGCCCACTGAGTTGGCGAGATCACTTTAGACCTTTAAACCAAAGAACACCCACAATGCATCTGTGTTTTATACAACTTATACAAAGATAGAAAATGTATGCTTGTGAAGCATACATTAATTCATATTATGGGTATTATATTTTAAGATAAGAGTCAAAAACATTGACAATAATGAGAACAAATATTTTTCATTAGTAGCCTAAAACATAATTATGTTACCTTAATAACTGGAGGCGGTGCGGTTCTTCTTCACTGAGCTGTTGAAGTTCCTTGAGTCTCTGCATTGTCATTTTATCCAACCATATTCTCCTGCACCAACAACAGTTAAGTGAAGACATTTAACCTTCCAAATATACACAATTATTACGATTTACATATGAGTAAGAGTGACTGAACAAAGAGCATTTCCTTTTCTATTTACAACTGGAAGTCAGCAGTGGCCATTCAAGTGAAATTTATATAGGTTTTTGGTACTGAACAGAGTGTTATACCTCATTGCTTCTTCCTGGGCCTGTTGTTTTTTTTCTAAGTTTAAAGATGACTCTGCTTTGAACCTGCTCCTGACTTTGGCTGAGCGCTGAGGATTCTTTTCAGGAGTAAAAAGACAACGGGGCTCTGGTCTTGTTTTGGGTTGAAGGAATCTGAATAAAATGTACAATGAGTGTGTGTTGTAAAGCGTGTAGCCAAACAAAACCACAAAAAGGAAAGGTTAAACAGTGTCAAAGTTAAATCAACTTGAACAAAGACAAAAGACTCACTGCTGTCGAGGAGCATGAGGTGATGTAGGTATCCAGGGTACAGCCTGCTCTTTCTGGGGGAGCTGGTTCTCTCTGAGCCGAGATGAAACTGTGGGCTGAAGGAAATTTGTATTGTGTGCCTGATTATGGAAAATAATACATGTCATAAAGGCAAAAAAATAATAAATCTTAATTTGAACTGTATAAATAATAAGATAACAACCTTATTAAGATTAGGAATATTTCTTGAGATAACTCCAACGTTATACAGAGTTGTCTTCCTAAAATTTCCTTCAGCTTTGTTCTCTTGCTCCCTCTGCTGGGCAAGTTTTTCCACACCAGCTCGTAGCACATCTCTTCTCTGAGTCAGAACATGTGACACAGCTTTAGGTTTTCTTGCAGCCTTTTTCTTACCTGCTAGTATGGAAAAACAACTTTACTTTTTATTTCTTTGCAGTGAATCATCCATGTTAAATTCAAACATATAAAATTACAGAGCAGGGTGTGTGTTGCTAGAGGCAAAAGCGTTAAGAACTAACTGTGAATGATTCCCATGTGATTGCAGTCTGATATTGGGGACTGTTCACTTGGGACAAGGACACTGGTCTCTGGAGACACTAGGCAAACTTTAATAAATGTGTTTATGTCATCTCTTCCACAGGGAGCTTCCCAGTTCAATAAGAACCTGCAGGAGTCAAGTGACTAAAACAGCAGGAGGGGATACACGCTGCTCTTGTTATACCATTTCTTTGTCAGACCTTGTGATCTTCAGCATAAACACAGCAATTTTCTAACAGTAGGGGTCAAATTGTTTTTCTTTTTACCCTTTACATTTTTTGCTGCTTTTACAGAGTTAGAAGTGGTGTGGTGAATAAAAGCATTGGCTCCTCTGGCTGCCCTGATTGATGTGCTGTGGTGAGACTCCCTGGGTGGAGGGCATGCTTGCACTTGCATCTTTCTGAGCATGTCTTGTTTATAGAGGGCTGAATCTAACATCTAAAAAGACAAAAGTATGACAATAGAAAACCAAAATTAAAAGTACATTTTCCGAATGTGTTCATAATACAAATATAATTAACAATACATTAAGAGTCTCACCTCTAGCTTTTGCAGAATGTCAAGAGCAGACTGAGGCACAGCTGATCCTTCACTCAACTCAGCTTTAGTAGAGCACAGACACAGTTGGCGAATAAGCTGGCCTAAATCTTTAAAATTAGGCAGATTTGTACAGTGAGTTGTATCAGAGAGTTGCTGAATGAAAACATGCAGAGCTCGGAGAACACCTCGATGCACTGCTGCAAGTCTCTTTAGAGATGTTGACTAAATTAAACAACGGAAAATGCATTAACAGTATTAATTAGTAATGAATAAATGACTGATTCATGAAGTAAACATACCTTTGTTTTCTGATAATGTGCCTTTTCCAAATTTTCTTGAACTTCTTTTACCTATTTACAAAGCTATATGTCAGAAATCCATTAAGTAAGGTCAAGGTTCTATATATTAATCTGATACCTGATGTTGAAGCGTATAGATAATACTTGTAGAACGGGCAGCTTGCTTCTGTTTACGAATATCCAGCTTGCTCTGCTCATCTGGCTCCGGCGGTTCCCCCACTTTCTGCTCTGTTCACAATAGGTGAAGAAAATAGTCATTTGAAGTTTGAAGACAGATTTTAACATTTGCTTAAATGTAGTAATATACATGAAAATGCCTAGCCAATTACCTCGGCTGGCAAGCTCCACAGCTTTCTGGATGCAAAATTCAAGCTCATGTTGCAGATTGTGTATTTCATGGACTAAATGATTGTGTTCTGGTAAACCATGTGATCCGGTTGGTGATGGCCTACGGGTTGTAGGGGACTTATGGGACATGTGCCCTATCAATCTACCTCTAGGTTTTGTTTCTTTCGGACTAGAAGCCTTTAATTGAATCTTATTTGGTGTAGCTCCAAGATCCTGAAAGAAAAGAAGAACCACAACAACTTAAGCAACTCATGTAATGAGAATATTTCACTAAAATGATCCGTCAAATCATACCTGCAACAGTTCTACATCACTTGTCTCTAGGAGTGAGGAATTTTGCATGTGTTTAAGGGAAGATCTGTTCAGTGAATCAAGCAACCTTCGTCTCAAGTCCCTTTTGGCCAGTTTCACAGCTGCATTTAGCTGCTCCTCAGACAAAACTGTGAAGCTGATGGAGCTTTTGCTGTTATCTTGAAATGTGCGCTCTTCAGGCAAAGGCAACAGCTTCTCTATCACAATGGAGGTTGGGGGATCAACACAAGTGGCACGATTACTGGTACTTGCAGGGATGGCTTCATTGAATAATAACTGAAAGACAAAATAATATATATAATTTTCCTGTAGATGCTCATACATTTTTCTACTTAATTTTATTTATTTTTTTAAGTTATGATCATTTGATAAATGCTATATCTACCAACGTTACCTCTGCAATACATCACATTCGGTGTGATCTTAACCTGGTTATATTCGTTGTGTTTATAATCGCTTTATCGCTTACCTTTGATCCTGTCTTTGATGAAGATCGTTCTCTGGAATCATTAACATTACGGTCTGTGTTAACAACAACCCATTCCTTCTGTTGACTTGTCACGGGACTACTCTGGAAATATTCCGCCGTCATGATTGCAAAAACATTCAAAAATATTAGCAAGTATTATTTCATTTTCCGAGTTCATAACATGGAAAAGTTTTTTTTGCCTTAGCGACAAATTCTAGTTGGTAGCTAAAGGTTAATAACAAACTAATAAGGTTGACTTTCTCAGAAACTCTTAAAAGTTTATCTTGTAAAATCGTATCGTTACCGCAAACGTATGAAGTAACAAAATAATAAATAAACTAGCAGTTATAACATGATTATCTTTTTACTTTTGTGTCTGAGATTCATAGTTTGAAACGCCGCCATGACAACAACAAGGCGCCCCAAGCGGAAGTAGATTTGTTTCACTACGGTTCCTCAAAAGGATCAAAACTAGTTGAAAAATATACTTAATTAATTACATTTTTGCGTCTTTGTTAAGGCAAACTGTCTTTATAATATATTGATTATTATTTTAGCATATGTTTATGACCAATTTAAGTAAAATAATGTCAAATAACGAGAATAAATTAAACCTAGAAAGACAGTTCCTTTAAGAACCCTTGACCAAAGCGGATACAGCGCAGTCAGCTTTTGCTCATGCTCTGACACTACACACAGACAGTATAAAAACATTTAATTAGACTTCAGAGCGTGAGACGTACCTCTTGGGTTAAGGTACTGACTAAATAAAATAAGAGAATAGCTTCTTTAAACAATGTCTAAATACGAAGAAGTCAGTGTACACGGTTATGAGGAGTTTTGTCAGGCAGTGACTGACAGAAAAGGGAAGGATATTTTTGTATATTTCTCTGGTGATAAAGATGCAAGTGGGAAAAGCTGGTGTCCAGACTGTGTAAAAGGTAATTTCTTCGTACAGACAGAATGTTTCCAGAAATGTGCACTTTGCATAGTTTTGGTAAATTGGTAATGCTGTTTTAATGGACATTTTTCTCTTTCAGCTGAACCTGTTGTCAGGGGGGAAATGAGCCATCTTCCTGAGGATTCGGTTTTCATCTACTGTCAAGTTGGAGAAAGAGCTTAGTCAGTATATTTTCTAGCTGCATTTTTCTGTTTTGTTTCATTTATGTGTACCTGACTGTACTTCATAGACTATATATATTTATATATTATGCCTGTAATAATTAAAAAAGTGAATGTGTATGAAATTTTTTTATATTTTTGCCATTTAACTTTCATTCAGTCCTACTCAGTGATGAAGTGATGATGATTTGTTTGCTTTGTCTTTTGTTGTTGTTGTTGTTGTCTTTGCAGCTATAGTTAATGAGGCTTTTGTTTATTTTTCAGCTGGAAGGATCCAAACAATGACTTCAAGAAGACATTAAAGTTGACTGGGGTTCCCACTCTTCTGCGATATGGCACAGTGAGACAAATTTTCTGCACTGTGTTTTCTGTTCATTTGGACAATTTATACTTTTCACACAAATGTTTTTTTTTTAAACAAATATTATTCCTCTACAAATCAGTTTCCTTTTTACCTGCAATTTACTGTAGTGTAGTCAAGATTCTAAAATTTCCAAATCCTTATTTTGAAAAATGCACAATACTCAACACTTTTGATACCATAAACAAAATAATAGGTGTTTCTGTCATTTTGATGAGGTATAATTTATTTTGACAACTCTACATTAGAGTGGATCTGGCCTAATAGACTGTTAGAGCTATTAAATTGCACTGTATTTTATGCAACAAAACAAATTATGCAAATACAACAAATTAAGCACTCTTTTTTTTGTCCTGATATTGTTTACAGCCCCAGAAACTTGTGGAGGAGGAATGCTTCAAATCAGAGCTAGTGCGGATGATGTTCACTGAAGACTAAAAGTGCTTTATATATCCAAAACCTGTATTTTTCTTCCCTTGTGAAACTAGAATAAAGACTAGTTCAATTACATATTATGCTTATTAAGTTTCTATGCATGTATCTCCTCTGTCTATGTAATTAACAGCATAGATACAAATATACTCACCAAGCCAAATATTACAATTTTTCATTCTTTTCACTGATCGGATTTAAACCTTATTGTACATCCCTGCTTTGTACACTAGGTGACAGGCTCTTCCCGTAAGTGCCATCTCGAGATTTTTTTTTTAAAGAAATCAAATCAATTTTTCTCAAATATAAAATGAAATATAACTTATGAATTGGTCATTAAAGTAAATAAAATTGTTCTTTACTGTTTTACGCGCCATGGTTAATTTTCGCTCAGAAAGCAATTTCAAAGATCATTGGAAAATCAAGTCTGATCTATGGTGTGTTAAAGCATTAGCATGTAGCCTCTGAAGTGAAACCAGCAGATGTCACGTTTTCAGAAGTGTTAGCACGCTGAGGCGCTGTTGCAGCCAGGGCCATTTAAGCTGAGCACATTCCTGCACTGTGCTCATATCGTGGAGGAAGCGCAGCGGCTCCACACGGCTCTTCACCCCGCACTTGGCACGGTACGGACCGGGGCGAGAGATCACTTCTGACCGCTCAGCCGAGGTGGAGGTGGCGGCTAACAACCCACAACACAGCGGGTATATGAGGAGAAATCTGGGCTGAGGTAACGTGGACTGCAGGCTGCCATGTCGGAGTTTCTGGTGAATCTACTCGGAGAGCGGCTCGTCAATAGCGAGAAAGCCGAGGTGGACGTGCAGTCTCTGGGCGGCAAGCTGACCCTGGTCGGCTTGTTCTTTGGATGCAGCTTGAACGCCCCGTGCAAGCAGTTCAATGGCAGTCTATGCGAGTTTTACACCAGGTTTAAAAAGACCTCGGAACACAAGGATAAATTGGAAATCGTCTTTGTTTCGTCTGATCAAGACCAGAAACATTGGCAAGACTTTTTACAAGAGATGCCATGGCCCGCGTTACCTTTCAAGGATAGGCACAAAAAGGTAAGCTGATGGACAGTGATGGTCAAAAGTTATCACTTGGGAACATGATGGGCGAGTAGAATGCGTATTTATTCTGTATGAAAACTGTATAATGGACAATATAGTCCATTGAGTAAACATAACATAAAAAAACACTTGAAACTCTACACATTGTGAAGATTCATGTATGGAATGAATGAAGCAAATGCAACATTAAGACTCTCAGTTCAATATAATACGGTTTAATGTCTAGGTCTTTAGTTCATGTATTATTTTCCTTTCATCTCTCTCATCACATATAAATCCCATAAATTAGGGTTACACACAATGTAGGTGTGGTATGCAGGCCACACCAGACTAAATAAAGTTAGGAAAATAAAATGCATATTACACACTAAAATCTTAACATTTAGCGTATAAAGGAAAAGGTAGACTGCATTATTATCAACTGATTATGAAATTGTGTTCACAAAGCTATCCAATTGTCAGTGATTTGCAGAATCCTACTGTGTTCATTTCATATGCAGTCGAATGTGAATTAAATATGTTTAGCCTACAAACAATGCACAGATTTTATATAGAAATAAACAATAGATATATAATATATAAATGTGTAACGATTACAGTATAAAGCAGTTTATTTATTTTTTTTATATAAGGTGTGTTATTTTTTCTTCATATGAGGCTTCTATATTACTGTAGGAGCCAAGCCTCTATCAAAGTAAAATAATACAATATAGGAAACCGTAAACTGATAGATAAATAAAATAAATCTGATGATAAGATAATCAAAAATTTAAAAAATGTTGTCTTCAGTTCAACAAACATACATTTGAATATATTTTTGTAGTTTGGCCCGCTATACTGTCTTTGTGCATTTTTATTTAGATCCATAATGCAGCAATGATTTCCATAACGAAGGCCAAGCGAGAGGCACAAGTGAAAAATGACAGGGGAGCAGGGGGGTGGTGGTATTGGCTGGGTGGAGCACAACACATCCACATCCACTTTGTGTGGCGTTATTGTGTGCAAAATAACATTGCCATTAACATAGCACCATAGGTTTCCTCTAGTGACTGTAGCTGCTCTGGCTTTATGGTAATATTGCAGTTGCACTTTATGCTAAGGCCTACTGTTTGGATTTATTTCACACTGAGGTCTGCCCCAGTTATTGTTTAATTTAGCCTTTCCATTTGTCTATAGTACTGTATGGTACAGTTGTGGTTCTGTCATCGCTCCTGAATCTGGCTTCACCCAAGCAGACCTCATCCTGCAAATGAGGCAATTGTTCCAAAATCCTTTCTCGACTTACAAATTTTCTACTGCACCTCCTCCTCTGCTCAGACCTGTGTGGACCTTGCTCACATTGTCATACTTAAGGGTTAACCATGTCTTCCTGCTGCTGGAAATGTTTATTTTTAATCAAGAATGGATAACGCCTTGATTACAGAGGGAATACTAGCCCACAATTTAAGCCATAGGCGTTAATGTGCACAGTCCCATGTTTATTTTTTTTTTCTATATATTTTGAGTAAGGTATTAGTGTAGCCCTGTATTTAAATTGTTTTGGAAACCACCTACTTTGTGTCCTGCAGTGCCTGTCATCTGGGGTCCTTGATATAACAGTTGTAGCTGACCAGCTGTCTTTGTGTCTAGGCTGTCTTATACTGCCTTACATGGAGCTGTTGGAGGGGAGAGACTGTTCAGTATAAATCAATGCAGCCCACTTCATTAAATGTAAACTTCAAGGATCACATTACACTCCTGTTCTTGTTGTCGTCTTCTCTGTTGCACGCCTTGACTTTTGCAGCCAACTCACTCCCTCGGCTCAGTGCCAGGGACTGTGCGAGTGTCTGCAGTATGTCACCGACCTGCTGAAATGTGCAGAGTAGCCTGCTGTTACAACTGTTGTGCATTTGACTTTCAAGGCCAATTCTTGTGTATATTTGGTTGGTGGAGTAACAAAATGTGAAATATTTGAGGCCTAAATGATGTGGAGCATGCAGTATGTAATTGAAAGCTTTGCAGATAATTGAAGGATACATCAAGATTCATTGAGGTTAAATTACTTACTTGGTTTTGCTCAATCAGGCAACCTCAACTAAAGGAAACCAGAAACTTGTGGTGGTTGGAATCGTCCAGCTAGTTGAACAGCAGGCTTAAAAAAATAAAAAAATAAAAATCTTAATAATTATTGAGCTTGCCCCAGTTTATCTTTTATTTATGTAGTGACTGACTCTGCCAGTGCCCCCATGGTTATAGTTTGCTTCAGCATTATGTTTAACAAGGGCCTACTATATGCAGAATGTGGAGAGACATTTGCTCCACTGACACCGCTTAAGATCAGGAGGTAGGAAAGCCAGGAATGACTTGGTCAGTGTTAAATACTTTTTTTTGTCTTTTTCTGGGACATTTTGTACATTATTGGAACTGACATTGGATCTCATCACTGGTAAAGACCTTAAATAATCTGAGTAAATTAGTAAATTGTGAAAATATCCTTTGTTGACTTCAATTATGTAACCATTAAGAGTGTGTACAGTAACTGCATTTCTCCAAATGAGAACAACAGATTTATCCTTAACCCAACCATGCTAATTCTCACATAGTTGTGGGCTACATCCAGACTATTCCAACTTTGAATGTTGCATGCGGTAGCTTTACAGCAGTTATGAAATATGCTCGTGATGATGACAGGAAAATGGCTCCCTTTCTTTCAGTGGAAAATGTCAGTTTTTCCAATCAATACATAAATCCTGCGTCATGTCTGCTGTTTTATCCACTTCTGCCTTATAGCTCCTCTTTCTTTTCATGGACAGTTTATTTCGTCTTTCCTCCCCCCTGTCCCATCGTCCTCGTGGCTCTAATGGCCCTGCACCACCGCTCAGTAGCCCTAGCCAACATAATAACAGTAATGCCACCCTCGGGGCATCTCTCCATCCAAGACTGTCCTCTTTCGTCTTCCCTTTGTTATCTCCTCAGCTGAATGTTGGTCCCTTTGAGGTAGCAGTTTCCTCTTTGTTGTCATCTTTGTTTAGTGTGTTTCTAAATTAAATGGACGTATAGCGCTGCATGTTTGGATCCTGTATTTTCTACTCAGGAGTTGCTACATGATGGCACTGTTGATTTGATGTAAATTTATTCATAGAGTGATGGTTTTGCTTAGACATTTTGATAAACCATTCCTCACCATGTGACCACTCTGCTTCCTGAATGCACACAAACATGCATGTTTACTGTCCTGGTTTCAGGTCAAACCAATAGAGCCACTGTCTCTGTATGCACCACGGCCCAGCTCTCTGATCCTCTGTATATAACCTTTTGTAGCATATCTGTTTCAATCTGATGTCAATGATCCATTGCTGTAAATGGTAGCATCTACGCTATGTATCAGTTATTTATTTCTGCCTTTCTCTTTTAATGTACACAAATTAAATAAGTTAAATCAAAACATGTCACATTATACAGATTTTGGCTGCCTGTATTGACATTGCTGACCTTCGTAATTCGAATTAGTTAACACCAACTGGCTGTTGATCCTCGCTTAGACTTGACAGATGCTGCATTCACAGTGCACTGCTAATCTTCAGTTAAATAATGAGCAGCTTAAGTATATATCATATGTCTCATAAAGGTCAAATGGCACACAGGCTGTAGACACAAAGCACCGATTTATTGTCATTTTAACATTTTTTGTTATGAATAAGACTAAACATTTTAAATAAAATGCTAATTTTACTAATGTTCTCTTTCTGTCCCCATTCAGCACCAGCACTCGTAAATCACACAATTCATTAGTTAACCCATTATCCATTAGTTAAGGTCACCTCTGGCCAAGCTAATCTTGTGCAGAAATAATAATGAAGCAGTTCTGGCTATGAGTCGCTGCAATTCCTGGATTGTCTCTAATATAGACTGTTAGATGCAGGGCTTACTATTGTTCGTGCCAATGATTATTGACTTACAGCTGTATAATGGATGTTGGGGAAACATACAGTACTTGCCATTACTGCCCCTAGAGTGCAGAATGGTTTGAAGGGTTAATTTTCTTTAAATTTTTTCACAAAAGGTATCAGAATATAATAAAAATATACAAAAATTTAATTGTAATGAAAGCTCATCTGATTTTTCATTGTTCATAAAAAGTAACTGGCAGGTCAGTGTGTTATTCATTAGATTGTTCAATCCTAGGTCCTATATAAGGGTCAAGAATATACAATTAATTGTTTATGCATGTATGTTGAATTATATTTATTTAATGGATTTAGCCTAAGCTTAGATTAGATCATTCATTTTTAGACAACAAACAACAGAATCTCAACTCCATTTTGCTGTTTCACAGTTTATCACACACATGGGCTTTTTATTGGCATTGACTAAACCTGTCTGTTAATGTTTATGAATCTTATATTGAAAGAATCTGTTATTAGTTTTTATTCATATCACCCTTGTGGCCTTGAACCAAACAGTGGCAAATCGTGGCACTGGATAGATGCTAACTCGACAGTAGACCCATCTGCAATTGTTACTTTCCATTTAAAAGTTTTCCTTGCTTCATCTTTGTTCTTTTAATAAAATCTTGTGGCACACATTCCAGGCATATCTTTGGTCATGTTGTTTCATTACAGCGTCTGAAAATGCTTAAGTACACCCCCTCTTTAACACTTTTATCGGTGGGGAGACTGGAGACCCCCTGCTGTGGCTTAGCTCTGTACTGAGTTGGGAGCTAATCGCTGTTTTGATTGTTCGTCCAGTCGTCCTTTTACCCAATCTGTTTGCGAGTGGCGCCCAATCCCGTGGCCATGTTGAATCAAAGGGTTTATCAGTTTAAGCCGTTTAAAGAGCGAGCAGAGGTCTCATCTTTTCACTGTGGGATGAGAGCAAAGCTGTCTAACGCTACAGTTCAGGCAATTAGAGACGCAGGGCCAGAGAGATTAACACGGAAGGAGCTGAGAGTCGCGTGATGCACATTTAAAAAAAAAACACAGCTCTTTGGTCATCAGAAAGACAGTAAAGACATT